GGTGTGAATTTAATACACTTGTATGAGTATTTTTAGTTTTGTTTACATAAATTAACAAAAATATGAAAATACAAAATGTATCCGAATACACCATACCCTACCACATTGCGAGTAAATTGCAATAAGTAATATAATAGTTTTTAATGTAGAAGTTATGTATATTTAAGAGATTGATGTTTGCTTAACTGATGAATGTATTGCTCAATATAACAACATATAGTAACATTTTCGTATATATAAAATTTGTTGAGTCGAATTCTGTAATGAGCCTATTCTTGTATAGCAGCGGTTCCCACCGGTTTTTACTTCGCGGACCCCTTGAGGAACTTATTTAATTTCGCGGACCTCCATACATATTTTGATATCTTATTGTACTAAATAATTGTTCGTCCGAAAATTGACCTAGTCCATAAATCCCTAGGTCAAATAAATGTAGAGATGTCATATCTATAAAATATTCCCGATAGGTTTTTAATTGCATGGTTTTGAAGATAGAAAGACTTCTTTGTTGAAATGTTAACATGATGTTTAATTTTATGATCGTGAGACCTTTCATGTTCATTTTAATTCAAGGTAGCAAAAAGGTTTCTTTATCAAATATTGTCGACATGTGCTTAAGGAGTCAATGTTTCAAAAATTTATTGCGATTGCAGAGGGGTAATGTGAGCTAATTTTTCGGGAAAATAATATAAGAAAGTTGGACTTCTTCCATGTTGTTGCGGAATACGTTATCGGCATAATATATGACATGAACTCTTTTACTGCATGGTTTTGCCTACATATTTACTCGAAACGATATGGATTTTCTGATGTTAATTTAATATATTCTGATGTTAATTTAATATTGGTCGATAAAATCAAGTTAAATTTAGCTAAATTAACGTATTGAAGGTGCATAAAGAGTCACCTCAGTTTTTGAAATATATAATTTTAGTCCTTACAAACAAGAACACTTTTGCTTACAATTTGACAAACTTAAATCTGGTATAAGCTTGTCTTTGAATTATGAAATGTGGCCTAACTTCATACTCCGGAATACCAGTATCCCTTATTTAATTGTAAGACAGATCATTATCCGTCTGAAATAGAAAAACATTGTTTCACTACATATACAGGAAATAAAAATTATGTACATATCAGGCAATATCTTACTTTATAAAAATGATACAATATTGTTTATTCATGGCTTTTTTCGTTTGTATTCGCGGACCCCCTAGGATTTTACTACGGACCACTAGGGGTCCACGGACCGCCATTTGGGAACCGTTGTTGTATAGCATATACCGCTTCCAAAGAAATTCAATAGACTAATTTTATAGACGGAAAACATCATTACATTGACGCAAGTGTTATTAACTTCGACATAATCAAAATGCCGTCCCCATTAGTGTGGTGTAGGGTGTATTTAGACTGCATTTTGGCTGCATTAAAATAAACAAAAATCGTTTATATTAAGCGTTAATTCAAGCATTAACACAATTCCTTTGGCCCAATAGTCCCTGCTGCAGCAATAAACATTGTTAAAAGTTGTGTTTTTGTCACAAAATTATTAAAAACATTTTCAGAAAAAAACGAAATTTTCAATTGTTTTTATTTTTTTAATATTATTTTTAAGTGTCAATATTGGTCCAACCTAGCAAACACAATGAGTTTATTTCAAATTTAGAATAATTTTATTTATTTATTTGCCTATGGAAAAGTTCCTTACAGGCAGTGTTTATTGCTGCAGCAATAAACATTGTTAAAGGTTGTGTTTTTGTCACAAAATTATTAAAAACATTTTCAGAAAAAAACGAAATTTTCAATTGTTTTTATTTTTTTAATATTATTTTCAAATGTCAATATTGGTCCAACCCAGCAAACACAATGAGTTTATTTCAAATTTAGAATAATTTTATTTATTTATTTATTTGCCTATGGAAAAGTTCCTTACAGGCAGTTTTAAAAAGTAATATAAAAATGGTTTACAAAGTTATGAATTTAGCTTAAATAATAAATTATTTTTAATAACATGTGACAATGAGAAATCAATATACAAATAATATTTATTAAATTCATGGGACATCCTCCTTAATGGATCTGCACTTGCATAGTTAGCTCTAAAAAATTGTATTGATATCGGAGAAAAATATCGGGACGCACGTCGAGGAACATTAAACGCGATGTTGTTAATTAGAAAACTGGAACATACATCGCCAGTAATAATTTTGAAAATGAACGAAATATTTAACATTGTTCTGCGGCTTTTGAGTGTTGGGAGTTTAATTAAAGCAAGTCTAGCGGAATACGAAGACAAATTTATTGGATTAAAATTTAGTCCACGGAGACAAAAAAGCAGGAATTGCTTTTGGACAGATTCAATGGCGTCAGAATATTTTTTGTACAAGGGGTCCCATATAATGGATCTATACTCTAGAATAGGCCTTACCAATGATGTATAAAGTGTTTTTGTAACATAAGGATCATTGAATTCCTTTGACCACCTTTTTATGAAACCAAGTACACCTCTGGCTTTATTAACTGTCATCGTTATATGGGGAATAAAGTTTAGTTTGGAATCAAGTAAAACTCCAAGATCAAGGAAATTATCAACAAGTTCGAGCTCATATCCATCGAAGACATACTTAGCAGGGATAGGACTTTTTCTTGCAAATCGCATGTATTTACATTTTTTTAGGTTTAGTTCCATTAGATTTATGTTACACCACGTAAGAAACGAATTATGGTCATCTTGAAGATATTTCTGATCACACAATTGGCGATAACTAAGGAAGATTTTTACATCATCAGCATACATCAGGATATTGGAATATCGAATAATTTGAGGCAAGTCATTTATAAACAGCGAAAATAGAAGAGGCCCAAGATGACTTCCTTGTGGAACACCGGAAAGAACATCAATTCTTCTGAAACGGTAGTTTTTAAATATTACGATCTATTTTCTGTTGGTTAAATATGAATATATCCATTTTATACTCAGATCAGAGAACCCCATTGAATAAAGTTTATTTTTCAAAAGTACATGGTTAACTTCATCAAATACTTTACTGAAATCAGTATAGATTGCATCAGTCTGCTGCTGTTGAAGAAATCCACGATAAATAACGGTTGAAAGATGAAGAAGATTTGTGGTAGTGGAACACTTCTTTTGAACCCCATGCTGATAAGGGGATATTAAACTTGAAACTTGGAAACATAAGTTGTCGGTAACAATTTTCTCAAATAATTTTGGTATTATACTAAGTTTTGCAATACCACGATAATTTGAAACATCTGATTTATTTCCAGATTTATACAAAGGAATTAGGAACGAATCCTTCCAAACATTGGGAAAAGAGTCACTTTTAAATGAAGTATTAAATAAATATGCTAGTGGAGTAGTAATAGCGTCTGCACAATTAATTAAAATACTGCTCGGAATATTGTCTGGGCCAAAGTTATAGGAAAACTTGAGTTTTTTTTTATTTCCAGAGCAATGGTACAAATATCAATTAAAGGCAATGATACTAGTTGATTTGCAGTTATTTTAAAAGGATACTCTAATGAATCATTATAAGTTGCATCAGAATATGTAGTTGAAAAGAAGTTTGCAAATAAATTACTAATATAAGCCTCATCGCTGGATTCATATTGTTGAAATTTCATGGATAAAGGAAAACTAGTAGTTTTCTTCTTAGAATTAACAAATTCGAAAAATGATTTTGGATTTCGTTTAAAGTTGATATTCATTGTGTAAAGATAATTATTATAACATGATTTATTACGGATATTGTATTCAGCACGGGTAATAGAGTATCTCATATAATCAATGTAAGAACGGGATTGTCTAAATTTTTTATACCATTTATTCTTCCTATTTTTTGCATAAGCCAGTTGTTTATTGTTCCATGGTGGACCGGATAGATTTTCAGATTTTCGCATGGGAACACATAAATTGAGGAAATTAAGCTTCATATAAAAGGCTTTTAACTTATCATCAACATTTGTATGACAAGAAAATAACTTATTATAGTTGGCATGTTTAAATGAAAAAACTTTTTCATTTTTACTGGACGAAAAATTTAGTGGAATGGAAAATTTAGTGGAATGGATGTTCTTAATTCAATTGTTGGATGATAACGATCTTCTGGACATGAAATAGGAGATGAGCGTTTAATAAAACTATTTGACACATCATTTACGAATATTAAGTCCAATATTTTTGAATATTCGTTACGAATGCCATTAATTTGGAATAGACCCATATCATATAGGCTATTAAAGAAATCATCGAAATTAGAATTCTGCCTCGTCTGAATGAGATATCCATCATCAGGTAAGAATTTCCACTCAGTTGAGGGCAGATTGAAGTCTCCAAAGATAAAAAGAGAGTCATCATCTTTTGAAGAACGAGCTACAGATCTGATAGCTTCAGCATGCTTATAGTATAAAGATTGATGAGAGGAAGGAGGAATATACGAACAAGAAATAAATAATTGATAACCATTAATTTTAATAGAAACGGATTTAAATTCAATATTATCATGAGGAGATTCCATGACTACGAGTTCAGATGATAAATTACATGAAACAGCAATTAGGACGCCACCTCCTGTAGTATTGCTACCACGATCACGTCGGTAGATATTAAATTTATTCAGTATTCAGAAAATTTTCATTTAGCCATGTTTCCGTAAATATTAATATTTGTTGATCAATATTGAAACTATTCATATACAACGTTGTTAACTTTGTTCTTAATCCTCGAACATTTTGATAGACGATGGACAAGTAATCATTAATTAGTTTTTTGGAATATAAGATTCACGCTGTGGAAGAGCAGCAATGGTTTGAGGTCTGGACCTGTAAATATATTCCCGAACCAAAGTATTTATTGGCCAGAAATTCGGATCAAGCAATCTTTCGAAGAGATTCATAGAAACTGTAATCTTAAAAGACGATATTGATCCCGGTTGAGAAAAATTAAATTTTTGTATTGATATATCAGCATCATTACCAAGTTAATTTTTTATGTAGAAATCAAGTGAATCGGAAGTAGTATCGCTTGCTAGACGAGAAATGAATATTGTCTTTTTTGGAGGAATTGCTCGGAGAGGAATAATTTCAGTATTTATCAATTGCGGAGGATTATCAACAATCGGATTAATCACATTAGTAGTTACATTGGCAGAACATAAAACTGCGTCAGCATAACTAAGATGTAAATTATTACTACTTAATTCAGTAATATTGGATAAAGGAACAGTTGGATCAGATGCAGTGTTACACGAAGGTACAGGAACAGAAATATTAGTTATTGGAACGTTTGGATCAGATGCAGTGTTACACGGAGGTGCAGACACAGTTGGTTGATCATCACGTTTTTCTTTGGTTAAGTCTCTTGCCGATTTACGTCGTTTGGGAGAAGATTGCGGAGGAGATTTTAAATTATCCAGAGATTTAAAATCATCGAACATTTTTGCGTATGCGGAAATGCATTCATTTAATTTAACGGCTTCATCTTGAATTTCGGCGAATTTCTTTTTAGTCTCTTGGAAAAATCGATAATAGTTTACACCAAATTTTCTACAACTTTCACAGCACCAATGTAAAACTTTATTTTTAGAAACAGCTTCTGCTACTAGCCCTGAAAGTCCACTGCATTTAAAGTGCCAACATTCATGGCACAGCCAACAGACCACCATTCTTTCATCTTCACCTTTAATATCACAGTTTTTTAATAAACAAGCCATTTAAAAAAAAAAAAATAGTATATATTATTTTGCAGAGTGTAGAAAGAAGATAAATCAGATGGCAACTTTATCATTCAATTTGACAAGCAAACAAAAGATATGATCAATGTTTGTTGTTGTAGTAAAGCAAAACAAAACAAAAAGGAATAAGAGAATGATACTTATCTTTGTATTATCCCAGGGGTAAATGAAACAAAGTACTTAGATAATATTCGATGACATCAGTATGACGTTCTAAGCGAGCAATCTAAGTACTTAGAGTGCAATGTATGCGTAATTTAAAATAATTGTGGTGATCTAAATGGCACAAACGGATTTAAAAATTGGGGTAAATTTACTTCATACATTCTAGTTTTAATACTGACAATTTCCTCTTGTTTGTTTACAGGATCTATAAAGGAAGATGACCGAAAGTTTCAAAAGAAAATTAAGATTCATTTCATTTATCTTCGTTAAAATTGTTTAATTATATTTTTATTGAATTAACTATAATACATGTTTATTATTTGATGATAATTTTTAAATAAACTTACATAATTTGAAATAAACGTAAATATAACAAAATCGGAAGACATGGTACTTTAACTTAACAAATGCAAATAGGATTGTAATCTATATACATTACATTCTTATTTGCAAGCTTTTATAGGCGTCTCATTAACTTCGCTTAGAACTCCACACAATATGTAAGTGAAATTTTAATTTGTCTTAATGAAACTGTGGTTTACATTCTAAGCGAGAGCACATCGATGAGGCAGCCTAGGACACTTTTATGTTAAATCAAAGTGGAAGAATAAGTGAAAGCATCACCACTGACTGCCACGAAATATCACTTAGATAAGCGAGTACATAATGTGTATTTTTACCGCTGGGATGTTGTTGTTATAAACGTGTAGATGAGTACAAGGAGAGGAATTGATGATCAATTATTTATCTCTGTTGTTGTAAGCTTTTCTTTATATTTCTTTTATGTTTTATTAAATGTTTTCGGATCAAAATTTTGTTTTTTATTTAAACAGATTAATGTGGAAAAATTAGTCACGATCCAAATAAATAAACACACCTATAAATAGCAAATTTTTTACTGATTTTATTAAACAAAGTCTCAGATTTTAATTAAGTTTAGTTTGTAAGATAAACTTTAAAAACGCGGAGCGAAATTAATTGCAGCTTTATACTTTACAAACTTTCTATCTATTTCTTGAATTGGTCAACTGAAATTTAATAAAAATGACTAATTAAAACCATTATTTCATAAAATATCGAAATATAATATCAAACAAAAATATTAAAACTTTTTAAACGATAGAGTTTGTGTTTGTTGGGTTATATATTTTTTAACTAATACATTCTCACGACTTAGGTTTTTGACAACAGACATAGGTTTTGTCATACTCAGATTCGCTTCTATGTATAAATTATTCTATGCAAATGGATACATCATCCCAATGAAATCAATGTTAATATTACAAATTTAACTTCAAAAAAATTAAATAAATGAAATAGTATTACTCCACAAGGTAATATATCATTAAAAGAAAAAGACAACAAAGATATAATTGAAACAAATGAAGGACGCAGTGCTCAAGTTATTACAAACGAATCAGAAAATAATACAGAAGACTCCATTTTATCATCATCACATTATATTTTGGAAAAATCTTTAAATAAATTCTCCAATAATATTTCTAATTATTATACCCTTCACCTTCGTGAGAACTGTATATATAAGTTTGTCATTCCGTTTGTAATTTCCAAAATATAATTTTCCGACCCCATAAAGTATATATATTCTGAGTCGATTATGCAATGTCCGTCTGTCTGTCTGTCAGTTGAAATCAATTTCGAGAAGTTTCCTATTTAAAATCAGCAAAATCCGTTCATAGACAACGGAGATATGTATATGTAAACAAAAATCCGAGACAACCTCTGAAAATTTCATAAAAAATAAACAACAACAACACTGCTTATTCATTGCCTTTGTATTTTGTTTTTTGAGTATTTCGTTTCGTATGTTTGAATGGCTGTGTGTTTCATTGCCATGTGTACATCAGAGATACAAGCCGATGCAAAATGATCGGCGGCGGCGGCGCAACCATTTTAGGTCGGCGGCGGCGGCTTATTATAGAAAATATCGGCGGCGGCTAAATTGTCGGCTCAATTTAAGTTTTTCTTCAGAAATTGAGCTTATAAGCGTTTATTATATTGAAAAATCTCTGTATAATAGTCCGTTATATAGAAACATATCTCTATATAAGGTTTTTTTCTGAAGAAAATGGACATTTATAGTAGTTTTCACTCTTTTAATATTAGCACAATATTGTGTGGCAACTTTTTTCAATTTACCATAAGAATTTAAAATAGTGGCAACTCTATTCAAATTGGTGAAATTATTTTCTGAAATACATGTGCGATTCCAATATTTATCAGCGGCTACGTTTAAGCCGGCTTAGCTTTTGAGCCGAAAGAAATCGGCGGCGGCGCGGCTTGCAAAATATTACCGGCGGCCAGCCGCCGTCGTTTTGAGCCGTCTCGGCTTGTATCTCTGGTGTACATATATTGTTTTTGTTTCTTGGTGCATTCATTTGCCTTGTGTATATTGTTTTTGTTTTCTTGGTGTATTGAATTTCGTATGTTTGGATGTCTGTTGGTTTCATTGCGTTGTACATTTTGTTTTTGTTTTTTTCTGTATTTCGTTTCGTATGTTTGGATGTCTGTTGGTTTTACTGCCTTGTGTATTTTGTTTTTTGTGTGTTTATATCGTTTAGCGTTGTTGTTGTTCATTATATTTTGCTATTGCTATAATAATGATATAGTCGGGAAAATGAATTTTTAAATACACTATGGTGAAGGGTATATAAGATTCGGCACAGCCTTGTTTTAATAAAGCGGAGTCACCAGATATAAACGAAATAATATATATTTATACATATATAATTAAACCTCGATATGTAGGAAGTAAACAAAATAAATGTTTGAAAATATTTTCTACATCAGCCTTGAAAAATTATATTCATTTTGACAGAATAGATTATTATCCTATTGAAACTTTTAATATTAATGATATATCTATAATGATTCGAAATGATGAAGGAAAATATATTGCTTTAGAGAAATACATTCCAGTTTATTGTACTTTACACTTCAAGAAAATATATAATGACTATATAGGTACTTAAAAAATAAGTCATTTTTAATTAATCAATCTGGAAGTAATGTGCGAAATATTGATGAAATATACCATACACGAATAATTGTACAATATGGACGTGGTATTGGGTCACTGTTTTCATCTCTGTTCTCACACCTGAAACCGTTCTTGAGGACAGGATTAAATTACTTAAAAAATAAGTCATTAGATATTGGAAAAGAAATTTTGGAGGAAATCGGAACAAAGCCAGTGGAAGATATTCTATTTAATCAAGGGAGATAAATTATGAATAATATTAAAGAAGCTACTATTGAAAAAATAATAACAATGCAGAAAGGCAAAGGGAAGCATATAAAACTTAAACGTTTAAAGCAAAAACCACAGAATAAATTCTTACGTTGTAGGGGAAAGAACTTTAAAGATATTTTTGGAAATTTAAAATGTCTGGATTTATAGAATGTATGAATTGGATTTATTTGAATCTCCCCCAATTCAAACAGAAGTAATATGATATAATCAAATTGCTTCATTGGACAATTCTAGTACTGTAGAATTTGTATCATTGGGGAATGGTGAAACATATAGAGATCTTAATAGTATTTATCTCAGACTAGTAGTTGAATTTAAAGGAAGTGGGGGTGTTGTTAATAACATGTTACATTCCATATTTAGGAATTGCACAGTTCATCTTAATAATAAAAATGTATCGCAGCCTGACAACAATTATCACTATAGAGCGTATATCGAAACATTATTAAATTATGGAAATGACGCTAGATCTACACATCTAGAATCGTGTGGTTGGTTTACTGATGTTAATAAAATTAACTCATTAATCGAGAAAGAAAATCCTGGATTAGATAAAAGAAAACAAATATTTAAAGAAGGAAAAAGGTGGAGCTTTTTGGTAAACTTCATGTAGATGTATTTAATCAGCAAAAGTATTTGCTTAACAATGTTAATCTTAAAATTACCTTAAATTTGGAGAAGTCAGAATTTTATATTTTAGAAAGTGGGGAAAAAATCATCTTAGAATACATGAAGCTAATTTGTATATAAATCATCTTACTATAAATAATAGTATATTAATGGCACATCATAATGTATTACAAACCAAAAATGCTATTTATCCATATAAGAGAGTAGAAATTAAGACTTTCACTTTACATGCAGGAAATCACTCATTAACTCTAGATAACGTTACACTTGGACAACTACCAAACCTTTTAATTTTTGGTATGGTATCTAATAACGCATGTACTGGGAATTGAAAAGAAAATCCATATAACTTTCAAAGATTTAATTTGGTTGTTAATGGAATTCAATTTCCTGCACAGCCAATAGAATTTAATTATGACAACGGTGGAATATTAAGCACTCGTGGATATCAAACTCTATTTAAAGGCACTGGAATTCATCATTTCGACAAAGGCCATCAAATTACGAAAGAACTTTTTGATAGTGGTTATTTTTTGATATCTTTTGATATAACACCAGACCATAATAACAATTCAAATTGTGGTAATTTAATTAACCAAGGAACTATTCGCATTGAAGGACGTTTTGGAAAACCAATTACAGAAGCAATCACGTGTTTAGTATATTGCAAATTTGATAGTATAATAGAAATTGATAAATCTCGTAGTATTATTCAGTCGCTATGAGCTAAATAAATATTATAAATACTTTAAATTCAAATAATTGTACAAAATATAAATTTAAAGGAGTTTTCCCCAGTAATAAATTTAATAAATAGCCAACACTGATCCATCTTGTAAACCTGGACAGCATTGGGTCACTTTTTTTGTTCTGCAGGTCAACCTCCAATTAAACCATTTATTTAATTTTT